GCAGCGAAAGCTCAGGGGGCTCAAAGCTGTACGGGACACTGCAGGAAGGTTGATGTCCCACGTTATGTTTAATGATTTTGGGATCAATTTTTGAAACCTGTCATGAAGGTACTTTCTTATTTATTGAATTGTTCAAGTTGAAGGAGAAATGCTCATTTTTTTACCCCAGTATCAGTATTGTTTGTCACAGAGCCTTTGTCACGGTGACGATGCACACTGCTGCTCTCAACGGCATCTATGCAGAGCAGTAGGCTAATCACCTAATATTATCACATTATTTTTGAGTGATTGGTTGTGCTGTTTGAATTAAGTACTTTTCATCTAATGAGGACAGCATCTCCCACATCAAAAATGAGCTTCCTTTCCCTGACTCATCCATTTGGATAGTTTCCTACTGGGTCTCTTTCTCCTAAATGATAGTCGTAGTACCCACTGCAGGGTGTATATTGTTGGCACACAAAGATTAGCAGTGTGGAGGAGGGAACTCTCCCTCCAGGGACCAATTTTATGATGAGACACAGAGAACTTCAGCGCTGGCTGAGTCGACGTCGCTAATAGTGAACCTCCACCCTCATTTTTGGCAGGCTTGTTCAAAGGGCAAGCCTGTAAGTGGCACTGAGAGTTTGACCCTGCAAGATCCTGTGCACAGTAGACTCAGATTAATAAAACATTCCCCAGAAGATCAGTGGATTCACCAGATTTACCAATCCAGAGCCCAAGACTGGAGATTGTTTCTGCAGGACGTGAGGGAATGCCCATGCTCCCACTTGTGGGTAGGAGGGTGTCGGGAGGTCCCTACCTGTGACCCATACAGGGGTGGGGGTGCAGGACCTCAAGAGCCCGTGTTTTCTGTTGGATGGGTGTTTTGTGGGTGCGTCTGGTCTGTACCGTATCCGACAGTACCAGATGCTGGAAATGGAAGCGTAAACTTGTCTTCTTGGGTCTGCAAAATTCCTTTTGCCTGATGTTGGACAAACAGTGGGCATAGCTAACTCCTAGGATTTAGGCTGCTTTGGCAGTTTTCTGGGTGCTGCGGCTGTGGGAGAAAAGGGCTGTGACTGTATGAGATGGGGCTGAGCTGAGTTGGAGCTACTCTTTTATTCACAGCAGTCTTGTTCTCTGTGAGTCTCTACTAATCCGTCTAAAACTATTCCTCATCTACCTTAGGGCATGTGCTGTGAACTGCCTCATTTCAGTGGGTGCCAAGCTGCGCAGCAGGCCCATATCTGATTTTGGTCTGCCTTTAAACCTATCCAGAATGATCTGAGTTTAGCCCCAGAGGACAGTAAGGTCAATGATGTTTTAGCTACCTTAGCATTGTCGGAATTATAGCTGTTATTGTCAACTTCCTCTCTTGCGCAGTCCTTGATGAACGAAAAGTCACTTTCTGGAGTGCGTATTTTCTTGACTGTGGTAGTTATAAAACGCGGTTTCACGCTGACTTTGTTGTTTTTATTGTGGCCATTTCATTTGTCTGCTGCTGTTGTTACCGGGAAGGAAAGAAGCTGAGAACGTCTCTGCCAGACAATACCTTCCAAATAAAATTCCGTTGTCTGATAAAGTCATTCTTCACTGTCAGGGAAACTTCCACAGTTACAGCTCAGAGTATCAGATTGTCGATTTCCATTGGAAAGGCAGCAGTTCTCAATTAGCTTATCTCTTCGTAAGCGTTTCTGGTTGTGTTATCGTCAGTAAAGGGGGGAATCTTGCGGTTCAAGAAGCTTTCCAGCTGGACTTCCCTCCGCCAAGCACATACTCTGTATGAAGGAGGTAGACATGAGTGAATTTTGCCTTTACTGAAATTGGTTCGTATCTAGTTGGAGATAAATTGTGGCGGATACAAAGCTGGTGTTACAGAAAAGCTGTAACCAAAGCCTGGCAGAGCTTTTGGATACGTTCCACACATCTCTCTCCCTAATCACTTGATGACTCACTTTGGCTTTTCAGTCTACTGAAATACAGCAATTAGAGAACTGTTCTGAGAATTCCATGTTTAGGAATAGCTATTCCTGGTTTCATGTTTCGTGAAATTTGAAGGCTGAAAGACCTTTTATTAATTAAGAAACTGGAATAAAGGTAAGTTAGACATGGAGTGAAGGTCCGGTCCTGCAGCCGTGACTCACGTAAATGCTAAGGAACACGGTCTGTAGCAGAGGTAAACTTTTTATCAGATCTACCAAAACATTTGGGGAAAAAACCAGACAAGCTTCTGGGCACCCCGTCCCTTTGTCACTGGGCAGGGACATGACCAACGCTGAGGCAGAAATAATTGCCTGCCATTTAACCTTGCTATTAATTAAGGCACTTGAGAGAAAAAGGTAGTACACGTGGAGCAAAACAGGGGCAGCAGGAGCAAGGAATGATGGCATTTGTAATGGGTCACGAAACTTCTATTCCATGAGCTGATGAGCAGTGCAGCACAGCATTCCTTTCAAGAATCTGTATAGCTGACCTAAGTTTTTAAGCGATTCGGTGGATATTTCTTCAATAAGATTTTTATGTATGTGTCTGTGTGCATAATATATACGTTATATGTCTATATTTTTTAATATATACATAACATGATATATTCTTGTTTCTAAGTGTAATTTGCATTAGCAAATGTCAAACTGTTGATGCTTATCACCAAAGTAAGGGTGACAGTGACGCATTGCCTGATATAACCTGCTGTCATATCAAGGGTCGAGAGTCCTGGGAGTTGTGTGGTGGGCTGGGACAGGGTCTGGAAGAGCAGGAAGACTCCTCTGAGGGCCATTTGGCACCAGGCAGCAGTGGGTGGGCAGGTTTAAGTGCAAGCTCAGCGCTCTGCCTTGGGTCAACGCTCTTGGCCGTGCCTTGGCGTTCGTTCTGCCAGCTGCTGTCAGAGGAGCTGGCTTTCACAGTGCAGGCCCCTTTCGTCCTGGGGCTTGGTACAAAACCTCCAACTTGTTTTGTAGCCTCTTCACGGGTAATAAAATGGAGGAATACACAGGATGCCAGCCCCGTGCACTGGGAAGCTGTGCCTTTTCTGTGCATGCTGCGCTCTGGTACTGTGGGCTGCGGCCAGCCCAGACTTGGGTTCAGCCGGGGGGTCTGTCAAATCCCCGTTTCAACTTGGGTTCAGCATGAGAGTCTGTCAACTCTCTGTTTCATACTCTTGCCTGAAAACATCATTATGTGGAGGAGAGGTCAGGTCTATTTCTTTTCACAATTTGGCAGAATACATTGGGAAAAGGGATACAAGACAGAATTGGAGATTATTTCTTTTCTTTTTTAAAGTTGCATGTCAGAAGATTAGTTGCTTTTGGCCTGCTTTGGTTTGGTCTTTGCCATACAGATACCCTTCCCAGATCATTTTTAGCCAGCTTTCTCAACACATGGAGGAGAAGTGCTTTCACAAAAGCTGTGTCTGACTACAACAGGCTGAGGTTGCTGAGTTTGCCTCAACGTTCATCTTTTTTCACTACCGAGCTGTATTAGAAACGATGCCAAGTGCCTCAGTTGGACCGTACCCTGGAGGCAATCTCTGCTTCCCTTTCCCTTTCCCTCACCAGCGGTGTTTCGTTACCCGTTGTCTCTGTGTGTTAAGATTATAAACTTTTTGGTTTGATTCTTCAGCTTAGTATGAATTGCCCTATTCACTGTCTGAAGTACTTGGAATACTTCCTTACTACAAAAAGTAAGAAAGGTAATGTGAGGAAACAAAGCGGTCTTTCTGGAACTGCCTTGCTGGATAAGATTGACTGTAATTATTGACTGTAATTGTTGACTGAGTTGTCCCTAGTTGTTCCTAAAATCATGTTGTTATGGGCTTCTCCTAGGGAAATGTGCGGTAAAGGTCCCCTCTTCAGGGCATGCAGCCTGTAGTAGTGTGATGCTTTAAAACTCTCAAAGGTTTTAGATTGTTAATCTTTCTCATCTGGCCCTTGTGCAGCACCTAACAAGTGTCTTTACAATTTCAGTTTATCTTTATTAGAAGAATTTGACTGCAGCTGTAACGAGTTGGAGTCCTTGCCTTCTACCATCGGCTACCTTCATAACCTGAGGACCTTGGCTGTTGATGAGAATTTCCTTCCGGAACTGCCCAGAGAAGTGAGAAGCTGATTCTGTTCTTAAATTACAGATTGAAATGTTTTGCGGTAGGCACAGGATTTCATCCCTACTTGGACAAAATACCTGTCAAAGTGAGTGTTTCTGCATGAGGTGGAAGCCCAGATCTTTCGTACATAGTCAATAGTAAAATAATGAAACCATTAAGTGAGTAAATTCATGTGAAGGTGAGAGTATCGCTCGGGTAGGGCGAGTAACCCCAGGCACTTCCTGGTGCTTCTGACAAAGGGAGGGCGTCACTTTCTGATGTTAGAGTCTGTATTTTCTGCTTTTTCTTGGTCATAGTGAAAACAGAATTTAGCCACCTCCTGACGTAGAAAGTTAGTGATGATAACTTTTATCAAAGTAGTTACCCTAGCACCTTTGGTTTTTTCATTCCTATAGATTGGAAGCTGTAAAAACGTCACAGTGATGTCTCTGCGCTCCAACAAGCTAGAATTTCTTCCTGACGAGATTGGCCAGATGCAGAAGCTGAGAGTGTTAAATCTGAGCGATAACAGGTACAGTTCACACAATTTTACTAACCCACTCTAAGATTTTATTTTTTAAGAAATTAAACTATTCCTTTTAGGTATTTGTAAAAATATGTTTATATGAAATACATTTTTAAGTATAAAAATTACATTTAGAATTACCTTATTTAAACTATAAGGAAAAGATCTTGATTTTTATTTTTTTGGAATCGTTATAATTGGGTCTTAGTTCCACCGACAACCAAATAAAAACTTGAATGGGGCCAAGATCTGGGTCTCAGTGTGTTTTCATAGATTAAAACCTGTTTACCTCTTTTCTCTTCTGCTGTTTCCATGTGAAAGTGTGATACTTGGCTTTAAAATGGTATATAACTTTGTAATAATCATTAAAAAATTGTGACAAGCCATTCCATAGGAAATCATTAAATGCAAACACGCTAGCATTCCTGACTCCTGAAATCAAAAGAAAATCATTTATTTCCTTCAGCAGAGCAAAGGTTTTGTCAAAAACACAGATTCCTCTGTTCTTACACACATTCCTCAGAGAAACGGAATGCTTAAAATGAGCCTTTCTTGATACTTATCCTGTCCAGCTACAGGCATCAGAAAAGACTGACTTTTCCTTGAAATTTATACATATGTATGTTCCAAAAAGATGGTAATTTTCGGAATCACCACAGAAATACAGGTTGGCTCCGTAGTGCAACAGGTGGTCTGTGAATACCATTTTGTTTCCAGTAATTGTCATCCATGCTCAGCAAAAATTAGGGGAAGGACTTTCCATCCCCGTGTCTGACTATCAGCACTTTCGTGGCTGAAATGAAGGTTGGCCGTAAAACACAAAAGGAAGTCATGTAGAAACCCCTGTCATATATTTGTTTAAAATCAGCTGCTTCATGCTCTTAGGTGATTTTCCACATAGCAACTGAGTGTTATAAAATACATTTTGTATAGACCGGCACGTGAAGTTAAACTTACCCCTAGTTTGTGTTGAAACCGTCCAAGTCCCAGAACCCTTCCTGGGTCCCTTGATTTTGGGCTGCAGAGTGCAGCGCTTCCCCGGGGACGGGCAGCCCTGTCCCATCAGCGTGTCACCGCAGCAGCGCGCGTTGTGCTTCTGTCTGCACAGCCGGAGCCTAAACTGTATTTCAGGCAACACTAACCCCCCCCGGCTGGTGCTCTTGGCAGCAAAGCCCAGCTGCCCTCCACTCTTCCTCCACCCATACCTTCTCCTGTCCAGGCGTAAGGGATCTTGGACTACGTGAGCGATGCGGACGGCGCAGCCTCTCAGGAACACAGAGAATTCTCAGGTGGATGTTTCCAGGGTCTGGGCCCCCTCGTTGCGGCACAGCCAGGTGCCGTGGCACGCAGGGGCAGGCAACAGGATGGGCTGGCCAGGGGCTTCTTGGGAGTCCAGGGAGCTGCTGGGTGCCTTCCCTGGCATCTTACACCAACCTGAGCAGCACCCCTCTGCCCCCTTACAGACCTGTAACTGTGCCTTGAGTTTGCATTGAGGAAGCAGAAAACTCGTCTCTTTTTCTTTTTTTTAATCCCATTTTTTGCCACCTTACTTTGCAGCCAGGTCAGCTGCTGGGCACTGACTGCACGTGTAATCACAGGTTGCTGGGGCTCGCTGCTGGGAGGGGGCAGTGCAGGTTGGGGGGGCAGGCAGGGTTTCCCACCAAGCTTTCCTGACAGCTGGATGCCACCAAAGCAGCGTCCTGCCCCACCTTCCTTTTTCCCCAGCTGCCCAGGTAGGAGAGGATCAGGATTTCCATCGTGGGGAGAGGTAATTACAGGACCAGCATCCCAACGACGTGGTGTTCCTTGGGAGGGAACGTGTCAGCTGCTGTCTTTCCCACTCCCCCTCGGTGCTGGCTGGTAGCCCTGCATCTGCCCTTACGCTTGCTCAGGGCTCGCTGAACAAGTCGCTGAGCTGGTTTATCTCACTGCAAATGGGAGAAGCTGTTCTTCTTGTGTTTATTTTTTGATGCTCCTCATGGTCTATTTGCTCCCTGTGGAGTCTGTCAAACACCAAAGGTACCAGCTGAAGGTGCCAGTGGCTCTGCACCAAAGCAGGCCTGAGGCGGGCAGAACAGGACCTTCCATAGGGCAAGAGGAAACGGCCTCAAGCTGTGCCAGGGGAGGGTTAGGTGGGATATCAGGGACAATGTCTTCCCGGAAAGGGCTGTCAGGCATTGGAAGGGGCTGCCCAGGGAGGGGGGAGTCCCCATCCCGGGAGGGGTTTCAGAGCCGTGTGGACGAGGTGCTGAGGGACAGGGGTCAGTGGTGGGCTGGGCAGTGCTGGGGTAACGGTTGGACTGGGTGGGCTTAAAGCTCTTTTCCAACCTACAAGATTCCGTGATTCCCTCTGATCCGCCTGTTGGGGTGGGAAGGTGTTCTCTCAAGTCCACCTGAAAAGCTGTACAGTGAGTTGTAATCGTTGTAGAACTAGTGGGAGAGCACAGTCCAGCCTGGGAGAGATAGGAACTGGCGCAGACCATGGACCTTCGGCCTTTGAACCGGGCTGAACTGTATCATGCACTATTCTTGAGGGGCTTGGGGAGTAAATTTTTCCTCCTTTCTTGATACCGATTCCAGCTGAGGTTAAATGTTGCTCTGCTGAGACATCATGATAATGCTTCTGTTTATGGAACTTTCCACCTTAATGAAATTCAAAAGTTTCAACGTTTTGGCACCAAAGACAAAGTTCAGATGCCATCTTCATGTCAGATTTTTTTATTTTTTACCTTTCTGTTTTCCCATTTTCACATTCATATTAACATCAGGCAATATCCATTCTTTCTTTGAATGAGTCCGCATGCACATGCTGACAAGGAGTGTATCTGGGCTCTGCATGTTGCAAGGATCCTTTCCGTGTTACCACAACAGTCCTACTCTTCCTGCTTCGGATATGACTGAGAAGGTAGAGCACACCAGCTCTTTTCCTGGATACCCCTTCGAGCCACTGGAAGAAGAGACACAGCCATGCAAGCAGAGCAGGACGATTCTAGACCACGGGGTCAGTGCATGTGCTTCGCCTTACGGTGATGGGGTCCTGGGATGTGGGTCAGCCTTTGTCAGCCTGTCACGAGACCCACTGAGCCGCTGTGGGCTGCGCTGCTGAGGCAGACCCGTTCACACCAAACGCTGCTTGTGCTGCTTTTTTGGCGTGAAGGCTTCAACCTCTGCACAAATCTTTGGAAGAGCAGCTGTTGCTCCCTGTACTGTACAACAAATGGGGATGGACATGGGCATGCCGTCACATATTCTGTCGGAATTTATCTGGTCAGTCCTTTATGACTTTCTCCTCCTCATACCAGAGAGGATTTCGTGTCCATTCTGGCAGCTCTCCTTTGCATGTTCTTGTCCTTGCAGAGGGAACAGACTCTGTCACCATGACTGTCAATCCATGCTGGTGATCATGGATGTACAGTGTTACAGAGGGAACAGTCTTCCCCTGGGGGATCTGTCCACATCATCCCGGTGGATGATACCTCAGGGTCATAGAAACTGGGGGATCTGTCCACATCAGGTTCATCCCAGTGGATGATACCTCAGGGTCATAGAATCATAGAATCACGGAATGGTTTGGGTTGGAAGGGACCTTAAAGATCATCTAGTTCCAACCCCCCTGCCATGGGCAGGGACACCTTGCACTAGAATAGAATCATAGAATGGTTAGGGTTGGTCATCTCCTTCCACTTTGTCACATGCCAGGTTTCACTTCCAGTGTCTCCAGCTGTGACTGTAAATTGTGCGCTTCCGTGTCCGTTAGCCTCTTGCGTCATTGCCTTTATCCCAGCAACTTACTCTGCTGGGAGCTGGGCTACTCAGGTATTTACTGAGAGGTGTTTGTTCTGGACACATTCCTCATGGCATGGGGAGCGCGCTCTGGCTCACGGCACGTAGGGGATGGGGGTACTGGTGGTTTTGAACTTGCCAGAGTGCATGGAAGTTTTGCAGTCTGCTCTCTGAATGGTCACGCACACGTGGAGCGGTGGACAACAGTGATGTAGCATGTAAGGAGGAAAAGAGAGCTCTCCCTGCTTTGTGTTATCTGGAGCTTGTCTAGGTATGAAAGTCAGAAACACTTGAGGAGGTTGGCTCTAAAATCCTGATTGGATGTCTTTCGGGAAGGAGACAAACCTGACATAGACCTCTTTGCCACTCAGGCTAATGGGAACTTCAAATTTTTGTGAGTTGGCACATTTTGCTCAAAGGTGGGTCAGTGTTTGAAGTCCCTCTCCGGTGTATTTTTAATACTGTGATTTCAGCTACTACAGGCTTTTGCTCTTGCTCCATGTCTTCTGAAGACCCTCATCGTAAGAGCCTACATAAGATGGACTTGGCTGATCTTAATTGACCAGAAGCTGGTTTAGTTCCAGGATTGTCTTCAAATGTTCATGTTAGAATTCCATTTTAACCAGGGAATTAGACTCCAGCTTTCTTTCCCATGCCCTACACTCTATATGCTTCTCATCTTCATACCTGGGAGCCCTCTCTCCTTTTATCTTCACGGGTCCCAACCTTTTCAACCCTGTCACAGGCTCTTCATCCCTGGGAAATGCGATGTTCGGTTGTCTCTACAGTAGGAGGCGATGATGGGTTGAACCCTGACTTGCTGTCAGGTTGCAGAGGTGGACTCTAGTGAGGGCTGAGTGCAGCTGACCACAGCTCAGGTGGCTTCACCCTCTCCAGTCAGGAAGGTTTCGATTCCAGGTACTTGCAATACACCTTCCCCTAGATTCATCCTTGTCTTTGCCAGGCCTAGCACTGTCTCAGGTCTTCAAGGGCCGGTGCAGCGTTTGATAAAATAGTTGAGCAATTACTCCTTGCATGAAAGGTATCGAAACCTCCACCACGTAATGAGCCACTGGGGGTAGCTGCTTGGATTCAGCCACTGTTAAGAGTGCACATGGGATTCATTCAAAGAAAAAAAGATGTCTTACCAGTAACCGGTGTTCTTCACAATGTGTAGTCCACATATACATTTGTCTTCCATCTGCTTCTCCTCTCTCCTCAGAGTCCTTCCAGGTATGAATCCTGTGATTGAGAGGTAGAATTGTTAGAATGTACATTTGGGCTACACTTCTCAAAGAGCATCGGTTACTGGTAAGTAACCTTTCTTTTAGTTTTAGATTGTTCTTAAAGAAGGGCGGAAAGAATCATCACCTTTTTGTATTTACACTGCTGCTGCTTCTGTCCTGGGGTCAGAACTCAATTACTGCTCTGAATCTCACCCACAGAAGTTAGATGAAAAAAGATCCTAAGATTACATAATCCATTCAAAAAAAAAAAAAAAAAGAAAGAAGAAAAAGGCTGTTCCCTGGTGTACTTTGTTCTTTTTCTGTTTAGCTATTTAATTATACAATATTCCAAAGTGGTAATTACTTCTGGCCATGTATATCCACAGGTGGTTTTGTGAAGGCTGTGTTGATGGGTGAACATGATAAATCATGTTCTTTTAAACTTTCACACTCTGGAAACTTTATTATTATCAATTTACTGATAGTTACCTTGGAGAACTGTCCCAAATAGCAGCTATCTCTGCACTGGACCGACTGACTGGTGATGCTGCTTGTTATGAGTAACTTCCAATGTGTTTTGAAAGTTACGGTATGGCTCCTGAATCCCAAAGTGTAAAGAAATAAAGTTGTCACTTGAAAAAGTGAAAGTTCTTCTCTTTCTGTACAGAAAAAAAAAAAAGCTCTGAATAAAAAATCTGGGTAAACACTATTTAAGAATCCTTATGTTAACTATTAAAGCTTAAACTTGTACCTTTAATTTATAATGTCACATACTGCAGTGTTCCACACTGCAGTATTCATTTTATGATACGACAGGAGTGAAAGCTAAATTTCAGGTAGTTTAGGCTTTCCTTACTCTCTTATGGCATTAATTCCAGGTTGAAACGTGCACAGACATATAAAACGTCTCCAATCTGCACAGGCCTTTCACTGGAGATGGTGTCACAGCACACTGTGTGCGGGTATACGTTCAGGTCAATTTATTTCACTTTGATAGATAAGTCATTTTTAGTGTAAGGTTTTCTTGTTAAAATGCATTACTTATATTAAGTACACGCCGCTTTCCAAAATAGCATGATTTTTAACAGTAATGACTGTGGCAAAAATACAGATTCACAGAGTGGTTGGGGTTGAAAGGGACCCCTAGAGATCACCTAGTCCAACCCCCCTGCCAGAGCAGGATCCCCTAGAGCAGATCACACAGGAACACGTCCAGGGGCTTTGGAAAGTCTCCAGGGAAGGAGACTCCCCCACCTCTCTGGGCAGCCTGTTCCGTGCTCTGTCACCCTCACAGGGAAGAAGGGTTTCCTCATGGTCAGGCTGAACCTCCTGTTTGCCTGTTTATGGCCACTGCCCCTCGTCCTGTCAAAAGTAATTCCATAATGGATACATGGCCAAAGTGCTGCATAGAGGGAGTGGTACAAAAGCTTGTGAGGTGCTCATCTCCCAGAAATCCAGCCAGGTCGCTGCTGTGAAGACCGCAGGAGCATTGTTGGTTATTTGCTGACAGTGGGGCAGCGGGTCCTCCTGATGGTGCCGTGCAAGCGGAGTGCGGCCCGTGGCTTGCCTGTCTTTGTCGGAGCTGTGGGCGAAGGTGGCTGCATGAGCCTTTCTTCCCACCCTATGGGACTGCCTGCCTCTCAGAAAAGGGCTTTTCCTCTTCTCTGCTAAATCACGTTTAGCTTTTGGCTTGTAGACAGCCCGTGGTGGGTCCGTTTCTTCCGGCTCTCCTCCAGCTCCTCAGCCCCCTGTAACACAAAGATGGGAGGGTATCAGGCTGCGGTGAGGACGGGCCTCTCGCGTTGGTGCAGGCTGAAAAGCAAAACTTACGTTCAGAATTAGTAGGAAAAACATGAGTGAAGTTTCCACAGGTATCTAGTTGTCATTTCCTCAATCCCACGCTCAGATTGCTTTTAGGAAATGTCTTTACATGTATAATTAAAATGGCAATTTTTTTTTTACTGTTCCATTTAATTTTGTCATTTAGGTTCACTATGAATATTTATGTTATTTTAATCTTCTTCCTAACATGTCTGCAAAAAACGAATTTTCAATTATCCTGGAGTATCTCTGTGCAAAAACTCAAATGTCCAATAAAAGGTTTTCTGTTAACTACACTGAAAACTGTTAGGTCTTTCCTACAAGTCTCCCTGGAACCGAGTTTTTATCTGTTTTCTGTGTTCTAAGCTGTAACTTTGGTTACATTATATAATGTACGACTCCTTAGTACCTTTAGGATATGGTGTCAGTAGTTTTAGGTTCCAAATGTCACTATTAATACGGAGTGCCGTGAAAAAAAATGGCATATTTTAGTAAAAAGCAAGAGAAAATGAAGATATGAAGCTATAGCAATTTCAGTGTGGTCAAGATAAACATGCTGCATACAAATCTTCAGAAGAACCTACTGTGAAAATGAAGGGTTCATGTTGTCCCAATCTTATCCTTTACAGACTGAAGAATTTACCATTCACTTTTACCAAACTTAAAGAACTTGCAGCTTTGTGGCTTTCTGACAACCAGGTAATGACTTTCAATCTTCATGTTTTCTTTAGTAACTAGGGCTCTCTGCAAGGGCCGTAAATGAAACCTGTAATTTAATACGTGGTTGGGGTCGAATTTTAGAAGCGTTTGCGCCCAGTCCACCTCCATACTTCCCTATCAAGGTATAGATCCTTCTGGCTGTCATTTGTATTGGAAAGATACCTTGGCAGGATTTATTACTGGCATCTAGCTAAGCTTCTACACCCTTACAAAAATAGTAAATAAGGGCCAAAAGTATCAAGAGAATATTTTGTAAATAGAAATTCAAGAGGTAAGACTTTGTTATCGAGCTTGTTAATAGTTTGTCCCATCCTTTGCTCCATCTGTGCCTCTATTCTTGTCGTCTTCCTTCCCCTTCTCCTGCCCGTGCTTCCATCCCTGTATATTTTAGACTCCATTAAAGTCAGTGGGAGTTTAAACATGTAAAAGATGCACAAGAACTCCCAGTTTTGTTTTGGAAAAAGCCTCTCATTTAAGTTCCTTTTAAATTTCAGTATGCCTGCCTCTGTTCAAGGGCTTTTGTTTCACTACTACATATTCCTTAGGGTTCTGTTTTAAAGCAAGTTATGTAACGTGAACACTGAGAAACGTAACGGTTCAACCAGCATCTGAGCACTGAAGCAAGGCTCGATGCTTTCCAGGATTGGTGGATGGAAGAAATTTGCTCTTCCATAATTTAGCCCTAATGGGGAAAAAACTCAGTTTGTGCAGTGCTAGAGACGTTCGACCTACCTGCCTGGTTTCAGTCATCTTACTGAATTCTCATAACGTCGTCTTCCCCACTTTGCTGTCATGCTCATGGTCAGATATTGTACCTCTTTAACTCAAGTTGATGAGGATGATTCACTGGGGGACGGCTAGCATGCTACTAGAAATGAATCCATCCTTTTATCCGTATGAAAAAGCCGCAGGGCTCGGGTTTGCAGGAGAGCGTGTCCTGTGCTGGGGGCCGAAGCGCTCCGAGCAGAGCCGGTGCCTGTCAGCGGGGCACGGCCCAGCAGACGGGCTCGTTCCTTTGTCGCGGTGCCAGGTCAAATTCCGGCTGACTCTGGGCGAGGGCGTACGGTCCAGCCGTGCCCTCAAATCATCGCAAAGCCAAAGGCGGTGCGGTCGCTAGATTTACATCGGTACGTGGCTATTGCACCGCTCCTTGAGTGTCCTACTCACTTCTATAGCTGAGCAAAAGATTTTAAAGCTGGGGGGGAGAGTAAGTGGGAGGATAATAGAAAATGTGTGAATTTTAGTGTGTTAAATTGGGATTCTCGGGTTTGTCACTCTAATATTTTAATATTAATTTATATATGTTTATATATTAATAATATGTTTAATAAATTAATATTAATTCCATTAAAAGACTACCATTGCATGACTCCTCGGCCCAGCCACAGAACATACCCTTCCTTTTAAATATACAATATTTTTTCAGCAGTTTGCCTTTTCTACAGTCTAGCATAGATTAATTTCTACCCGATGAGCTGTGACAATCGCTCCTAGATGCTACATTAGAGCAAAGCAATAAAAAATAACCAATGGAAGTAAAACACAACAGTAACACCTGGGTATTCGGAGTGCCTCCCTGTAAATTCTCCAGGACCTTGTGCCAGGTTTACGCTCAGAAGAACTAATAACTGTCGCTGACTTCACTCTGCGTTAGCCCTAGCTTAAAATAGATCTCAGCCATAATGGGGACGTTTTAGCTGTGCAGTGGCAGTTCCGTTCTGCTGATCCTTTAGCTTCCTCACTGGTAGGACTCTGAACACGCAGTCAGTATTTCTGATATTTGGTGTTCTCCTGTTGATCCTGGTAGGAATCACAGGAATTTACAGAAGTGAGGGATGGTAGAGGAGGCGTTTCCACCAGATTAACACTTGGTTCAGTCCATAGAGAATTTTATTTTCATACAGGATTTTAGTTCATCTTGTATGTTCTGTTCATCAAATGCTAACATCCTGTCTCAGTTAACACACGTGCTCTGAGTTTAACAGTGCTTTGCTTTGCCTTTCCCGTGCAGTCCAAGGCTCTCATTCCCCTGCAGACGGAGGCTCACCCAGAGACAAAGCAGAGGGTGCTGACTAACTACATGTTTCCCCAGCAACCCCGCGGTGATGAAGGTAAACCGCCATCGGCAGCTCCTACCCAGGCAGGATCAGCCCTTTTTCGGAGTAGGGGGAGAGGAGGGGGTTTCAGACGTGATTCGAGGTGTGAGTGTCTCTTCCAGCACACTTCTGCGTTGTTAGAGAGGTTTCATTCCCTCCTCTCTGCTCCAGATCTGCACGAAACCCTGTTGCTTCCCATCACTCTCGTTGTAATCTTAAAGTCTCTTTGTAATGTTTTATCAGTTACTACCCTCATTGCCCCCCTCAGCAGATGTAAAACAATAGCCCAAGGTTGCAGGATCCACTGAGAACGTGTCTTTTTAGCTCGTTTCCAGGCTTCTGCTGGGTGCACTGATCACTTGTTCTTGTGTGTTGCTGTTTGCAATTTAACTGCAGATTTCCAGTCAGACAGTGACAGTTTTAACCCTACTTTGTGGGAGGAGCAGAGACAGCAACGTATGACTGTTGCCTTTGAATTTGAAGAAAAAAAGGAAGAGGAGGAAAATGCAGGGAAAGTTAAGGTAAGCGCTGCCTGATTTATTCTGGTATTCACATATTAAGGACAGGGTCCAATTTGTAGATCTTGAACTATTTTTGTGGTCTGAGTACCCAGAAAACACTTGGCAACTTCGTGGAGTTACACAGGAATGTGCAGTGGAGAGGGTATCCCTCATCAATTTTGTAACTTGCCAAAAATGAAGACCAAAACGTGAATATCCTCCCCCATTATCTGCAATTAATATAATTCCAGAGTTTTCCATTGAGCCCTTAATTGGTTACGTTGATAGAAGGATATTGCCAGGACCATCTATGTTTACGTGGTATGAAGATTTCTATTTCTTGAATAATATAAAGGACTTACCCCAGATCAGACACTTAAACACTGCAGCTTTTTTAACAGTGGTAGGGTACGCAGCATAAAATGCGTTGTCAGGGACAAAAATCACATCAGAAGATTTAAGTCCCATTTTACTTTTAAAATTAACAATGCTATTATTAAATAGTTGTTTAACATTCCATTTAGATCTTCTTGGAAATTTTGGATTTTTCTTTTTAATATTTTTTCCCAATTAGGAATATTCATCTAACTCTTGTAAGCAGAGATAAAGGACTCTGCTGCTTTAGTAGAATGAAGGCAAAGAGCAACCTTTGCCTCACAATAAATGGATTAAACTGAAATTTGACCCCAGATGAATTGCAGGTTTATGGGTCATATACAGAAAACAGAGCATCTGGGAGAGTTTTCCATTGTTTCACCACCATTAATCAGAATTTTAGCTGTGGGTAATATGGCTGTCACGTGTGCAAACCAGCTGAAATATTCACAGAGAAATAGATCTCCATTTCTAAGAGCATAGGAGGATTTAATTGTATTACCTGTTATATGCAACCATTATTTTAAATATTGAAATGTAATATATGAGTTCCATCACTTAGCTATTTTGGTAGTAATGTATTTCAGAACACTGAATGACTGAAACAAATGCTTCCTTTGAGTTAACTGTTCTTGTAGGAACAATAAACCCTTCATCCACTGAACGCTGTTGCGCTGCGTCAGTTCAGATCTTCCCACGTGCTGCACGGCCAACGGGAGGGCAAGCGCAGACGAGACACTGAACCACCTCTTCAGGTGTCCTAGAGACAGCCCTTCGCAGCAAAGCCCGTGCTGTGAGCGCGTGTCCTCTGATCCCAGGCCCCGGCGCTCCGTCCTGGAGCGGCGCGGGAGGCAATGGGCGCTTCTTCCCTGGGCTGTGCGTGCCTCCAGGTTGCCTTCCCGAGGTGTGTGCTGGTCCCGGCCCCCGGACAGCCATCGTGCCGTGTGGGTGGTCTCTCCGCAAGGTTTTGGTTTGGCCATCCGAAGGTCAAGACAGTCCTTATCCTCTGTGTCACTGCTCCTTAGCTGTGGAGGAGTCCAACACTAAGTTGTGTTTCCTGGGGTCATTACTTACCTGTTCTCCCTCTCGCCCTGAGAGTGGGGGTATAAACCGGTGTTGTAGTACAGGAGTCTTGTTTCTGTGTGAGAATCCCCTATTCCCATATACAGTCCAACGTTCCTCACCTCCATAACGATGCTAACATCTTCTCATCAGCCCAAAACACTGAATTTTGCAGCTGATGCTATTGTCCATGCAGAGAATTGTTAAATGAAAAGCTAAGCAGGGAGCGAGGAGCCCATCAATTATTTCCTCCCGTCTGTGTACCTGGAGGAGAGCATCTCTCTCATACCTCACTGTGTGTACACCAGACACCTATGTAGTAGTTTGTAATAACTGAAAGTAGAGAAACAGCACTGTTCAAACCAGGGAGTTTTGCCAGGCTGTGAAAGGAGATTTCCCACGGAAGGTGTGTGGGGTTTTTTTTTCCCCTATCGTAGGAAACAGCCTTTTTGCCCCAGCCATGAAAAAATGAGCTCAAATTCAATTACTCTTAGTGAGACAGAAATGCTTATTTGCATCCTTCTGGTATGTCCGTGCTCTTTCCTGCTAATGCCAGTCAATTCCTGTATATGGATGACCAGAGAAGTCCCATTGGAGAGGCGTTTGCTCACCAGCCTCCGTAGATGCTAATTGCTGGAACCTCTTGAGAAGGTAGTGTGTGTCGCTCCGTCTGCTGCAGCAGGTCTGAGGGAGGTTTCAGCACGTATGGTTTTACCAGACCATTGTGGCATGAGTTTGCAGGTTAACTAAAACGGTCAGTAGGCAGTAACCACGAACTTCAGTAGCATTTGATAAAAGCATTTGTAGTTTTCACTTTTGATCTTTTATGGGTAAAACTGAACTCTCGGCCAACCCTGTGTTAAAACAGATTTGGTAATTGAAACTATTCAGCAACTTCTGCCATCAAGCACTTTGAACTTGGGAAATTCCCTTTTCAGGGTCATGCTACTTTGGATGTAGCATTAAACGTACAGGAATTGTATGGACAGGGAGCGCAGTTTTCCTCTCAGTGATGGAAATATCTGCGTTCCAGTGGGTATCACCTACCGCAGCTGCCAGGATTTTTACTGTTTGTAAAATACCAACACTCACAGTGATACAAAACTCTTGATGAAGTCCCTGTCTGTGACTTGTCTATCTCATGAGCCTTTCCATTAATTTTTCCTCAATTAGTATTTACTGCGGATCTGCTCTGTGACTTGACTTTCAGCCGTGTTTGTCTGTAGCCCCTACGCTTAAATCAGGGCCTGAATTTTGTGAAAAAGCCATTGCCTAATTAGGCCACGTCTAAATAACGATTTCTTTCAACCGTAAATCAACCAGAGCTTTACTAATGCCTTACAGACTTAATTCATTTTTTATGTTGAGATCCCTTATTGACATATGACATCATAGTCATACATTTTAACGTTTTATGTTAGTCATGTCAAAATCTATTACCCGTAATGTTTATTCTCTTGTGGTTCAGAATTGTATGCTAGTATTTCATACAGTTTCAGTTTCCAGATTGATCATGCGTTTGCTTCTGAAATAGTTCCTGTCAACAAACTATATTCATTTGAATCCAAAATTACATTTTTCCTACTTGTTAGGAACTTAAAATCCAACAGCTATAATAGCGAGCTGTTAAAACTAAGCTCAAGGAGGAAAAAGCCGCTTTGTGATAAACACTTCCCCGTACTTACCACACCGTAAATGTGGAGTAGTTTCAACTTTCACAGCCTTAGAATTGGAAACAGTTATCCAGCCATGAGCGGCGTGTGCTGGGAGCTGTAGTTGTGAAGGGTTTTAATGCCTTTCCACCCCAAGTTCTGGCCCGAAGCGCGCGGCAGGCTCAGGCAGCATCCCGCGTTTCAGCTGGCTGCGCGCGGTGCTGGTCGGTGCCCGTGGCCGTGGGCTGCTTCCTGGTTCACCCTCTGAAGCCCACGTTCGGGGCTGAAGCCACAACCGCCTTTCCCAGCTTGGACAAAGAGATGGGGCAGGTTTGCCAGGGAAGGACGGAGCGGGGAGGGCAGGGGATGCTCCTGACGGGGTCATTTGCTGCACCACAGTCTCCTCTGAGCAATCTGCTGGTAGCGTCTTGCCGGATGATGGGGTGATTTCATCCATGAGCCTTTGTAGGTACTCCTCCCCTTTCCCTCAACCCCGCGATTTTATAGAACTGTCTTCAGATTAGGATTTATTTGGACTTCGGAATACAGTGTTTCTCTCCTTCTGAGTGATAAAAATTATAAACCTAAAATGTGGAGCTGTTTAGGAAGTCTGTAGGTCTGCCAGTCAGTCAGAGTACTATTCAGAGTGACTGAGGGTGACTTTTCCACGCTGGTTTGAGTCTGTTTTCCTGTTATTTTCTGTATAAGAAGAGAGTAAGATACACTTGAGTGCATGTACATACATTATATATCTCAAAGAGCAAATAGCTCCCCGTAGATCAGATTCTGTTCTCAGCTGCCATAGATAATTCAGATTAATTCAGTACACTGAACATAGCTAAATGAATTCTGCATTTACACCAGTACTGTTTTGAGAAAGTGTGATTTAATATGTCAGTACTCTCAAGCAAAGTGTAGAATTAAAATACAATATACTCTCGCAGGGTAAAAGATAGTCTTATAGGGAACCATTCCCATTCATTATTTTATGTCACTGAAATTCCATTATAGGTTGACGTAGTGTAACAGGGAGCAAATTTCAGTCCAAAAATCCACGAGGATAGCTATATTAACACATTACCTCAAATAGCTTAATTAAAAATTTGAGGAATTTGCACTTAGCCATAGTACTGTAACCATGGTTTTTGTTTGCATGCTGTTTTCATTTTGTATTTGTGCTTTAATTCTTTTTATGAATGTTCAGGTTGAAATAAATCTAAAACGTTATCCCACTCCATACCCGGAGGATTTAAAGAATATGGTAAAATCAGTTCAAAATCTGGTGGGCAAAACAAGCCATGGAGTACGGCCTGAGAACGCAACACCAACCGTGAACAGTGAACAAACTGTGAAAGAAAAGTATGAGCACAAGTGGCCCATGGCACCAAAGGAGATTTCAGTGGAGGTAATGTAAAAGGATCATTGTTCCTCTCCAGAGTTCGACATGGGGTCTTAACCTATCTCCATCAAATGCTATTCTGCATCTGCTGTGAACTTCGTACCTAATAGCTTCCAGTTTCGTTCCGTAAAGTTAATTTGGTTTTATCTTGAGCTGCTGTTTTTCCCAATACAACTGAGTTTATCCGACTGAATTTTTTGGGTTTAAATCTACCTAAATCTGAAATTTGGTATTGATACACACAAGCCCTCTCCTAAATTCTGGTGGTATGAGGGACTTGCATATTAGCATCTCAGACTTACTGTGTATTGCTGCGTGACATATGTTAACGACAAATCCTTTTCTCCTGTCTGGCCCTACTGTGCCATTAAGTCCTAGTTCTACTCCCATTTCACGTAGTGGATAGCCAATTAACCTTGTCAGAAGTTAATGGAGTCAGCAGGAGCGCTTCTTTGACTGCAGGGAGCTTTAGATCAGGCACCCCGAATAGCAGCTTACACCAAGTTGCAGAACCTACCCCTTTATACGTTTGCCAGAAGTGGATCAGCGCGCGTAGAACGAAGGCTCCAATGCCGACGTGAATACAGGCACTGAAAGGTAAATTCCTAAACATTCCAGTCCTGTGCAAAGCTGCTACAGAACTTCGTCTCGGAGGGCATCTGCTCGTTAGCATTCACACTAATGGCTGGCTTTGTGCAGGCACAATTTTTAAATAAGGGACAGCTCTTACGCTGGCAGCATGTGCTGGTATTTTACAGGCTTGGATGGGTCCACAAGAATACCAGCATTCTTGAAAATCTTTATAAAGTCTTAATGCTCAAAAGAAAGAAATGGGGGGGAGGGGGAAATCAGCGCCTTATCTTTTCACTCCTTTGTTATTTAAACATTATGATAACTTCATTGTCCTTGAAATATCCCTGTCTCTGGCTAGTTGTGTATGCATGAATTTTTCTCCCTCGGTTTTCTGTATCCTTCACGCAGATGGGTGGTTCTTACCTGTTCAGCAGCCACCGTAGCTGCTCTGTCAGTGCGTGTGTTTCATTTACAGCTGAACAGTGTCATTTCTTAAAAAATTTTCTCTTAAGAAGACTTCAGAAGGCTTTCCTCAAAGCTAGGCAGAGTTTTGATTAGTATTTCAAACTAGAATTATAGAGTGGTTTGGGTGGGAAGGGACCTTAAAGATCATTCAGTTCCAACCCCCCTGCCATGGGCAGGGACACCTTCCACTAGACCAGGTTGCTCCAAGCCTCATCCAGCCTGGCCTTCAACTTAAAATCATTTGTGGTTGAATCTAAACCTGAAATTATAACCCCCACCATTATTCCTTTTTACTCATTAAATTCTTACTGTGTAAATCTGGCCTTTGATCCAACTCATGTCTTGTGGCATGAATGTTGACCTGTTCTGCTGTTGTTGCTGAATACATGCAATTTATTTTGCATCATCTAGCTTTTGAATATTCCTAACGGCTTTCTGCGGGCTGTAATTATCCCTGCTGTGAACACAGACATGCTATATCTCCGGATCTGGAATCAGTGTTGTCTGGCAAAGAGACGAGGTGCTTGCTCTTGTTGGCTGGGCCTGGTGACGCAGGTTTCAGAAATAGGTGGCTGCGCTGGTTTAGTCGCTGTTAAACTGAACGTTGTTCAACTGCACTGTTAACAGCCCAGTTAAGCCAGGCACAGCGGAGCCCCGTGAGTATGCAGAGTCCAGGGACGCCCCCGTGGCACTGGTGTAAGGCAAGAGTGAACGGCAGCAACGCCATAAAATCCGAGTTACTCTGAAATGCTTGTGCGACCACACGCTGTGTTCTAACGTGGAAAGAGGTGAAGGCAGATTTCATTCTTAGGTTTCATTCTTTGATAAAAATACCTAGACTTTTGCAACCAAAAAATAGTGCTATCTCGTTTTTCTGGGAGTGTAAATGAACTGCTAATTGCATGAGAGTCACAGAAAGCATTCCATAAAGGTAGTCGAATGGCCGAAGATGCTTTGGTAATTCCTGATGTGCAGTTATATCGTGTGGTTGCAATTTCCTAGTTAATCTTCCACTGCAGACCGACGTGATGGCGGGACTGTTTCCATCATATCTGCACAGATGTGTGTTTCATCCTCTGTTATTGTAACGGTGAAGGTGGTGGAACTTTTTCGAATTGTAATTTCCCTGGTATTTAGGCAGGACTGGTAACACAACTCCCTCATCGACTGAAAACACAGGCAAGAAGTTCTTGTCATTGATACAAACAGTGACAGGGGAAGATTTTATGGCTGCAAAGCAGGATGATGTAGACGTTTTCCTCTCTTTGGCTTCCTGCATGAAGGTAAAGAGGAAGTATGGGAAACTAGAAGAAGTGTGAATAAGTTTGTGAACAATATTGGCGTGTTTTCAGTTGCAACACATGAAATAAAACATAATTGAGCTCCTTTGCTTTTCAGATAATTAGGAGGCATGATCTCAAGCCTCAAGTTAAAATACAGTTTGAAAATGCAGGTGTTTTCTGATATAGATTTAGACTGAAGACAGTTTCTAATAACAAGGTAATTTAATTTCAGGTGCAATCCTCAGTTTTTCATCCTCAGAGACCAGATAAGATGGTTTCTTTCTGATCTCTTATGGTTTACCTGCAATTAATTTACACGTCTCCACAAAACTCTTTCTAAGTAATTAAAGGGAGCATCTGAAATGAGTAACAAGCTACATTTCAAATCCCCTGTATCATCCTCCACCTTCAGATATAATAAGCAAACAATTTCTTAATTAATCATCAATTAAAATAAACCTCTTCATTGTCTGAAGTCATTTTGAAAGATGTGCATTTTGGACAAAAGGAAAATCTAGGATAACTTAGTGTGTTGTGCATCTTTTCATAGAATCACAGAATGGGTTGGGGTGGGAGGGACCTTAAAGATCATCTAGTTCCCACCCCCTGCCATGGGCAGGGACACCTTCCACTAGACCAGGTTGCTCCAAGCCTCATCCAGCCTGGCCTTGGACACTTCCAGGGATGGGGCATCCACAGCTTCTCTGGGCAACCTGTTCCAGTGCCTCCCCACCCTCTCCGGGAAGAACTTCTTCCTGATGTCCCATCTCAGTCTACCTGCTAGAGAGATTTTCCATGAGAAATACCCCAAATCAGCAATTAAGGTCTTTATAGTTAATATTCTTGACAAATAGACTGGAACGCTTGTATATAACTCTTAGCTTTGGATTAAAAACAGCCTTTCCTAGCCTAGCCTACAGCATTCCATCCTTTGTGTTCATACTGTGTAAAAAGGCCAAGTTTGCTACTGTCTGTGTGATCTGATGCAGACGCTGGTGCTGGTTGCATTTCTGATCACCTGAACAGGCAAGGATAACGCCTGCATTCCTCCAACTGCTTGCCAGTCCACCCGATCACAAGGCAGAGACACATGGCAGAACCCATCATTAGGTCCTACCTGCAACTTTGCTTCTGGATCTATTGTGCCCTTCCATGTGGAGTCCCAAAAACTGCCTCTGCCCCGGTTTGTTCCTCCTGTACTGACGTCTCCTTTTCAGAGCGCTGTGCCCTGTCTGGGGTTACCTGCTGGAGCGGAAAAGGCGAGAGCTCGTTGCATCAGTGCCGTAACGTTGTGCTGGCTGCTGTATCCCCTCCGCAGCAAGGAGGTGTGTCGGGGTTCCTTCCTTCTCCTGCTTTCAGGTTCTCTATCCACATGCAGAAGTTTTCCTTCCACTGGTTCGGTTATACCTTGCATTAACATCCTGGCTGGGACAACCTTCCGATCTAACGGCTACGGCAGCCGGCCTTTCTGGTTCCGCCAGAAGAGTGGGAGAGATTCAGGAGCAGGTGGAAGATCCTCCATTCTGCTTTCTTCTGGGATAATCCCATGCTTTGGGGTGACTCTCAGTGCATTCCTGGATGAGCGACTGAATTTTATTTGGGTCAGTCTGATAATTGCTATTTTAGACAGCACAGTATCCAGAACTGTGACTGCCTTTCCCATGCTAAGCCTCAGAGATAATTCCTTGTGTGGTTTTGTCAGGAGAAGACACTTCAGTAGGACAAAGCTATTTAACGGGACATCGGAACTGTTGGCATGCAGGGCTGCGGGGCAGACGTGCCACCCTTTTCTCTGCAGCCCGTAACGCGACTCGGTGAGGCTTTGTAACAGCACTGTGCCACTAGCTGGTTCCCAAGAAGGGTGCCTCGCTTAGTCTTGCTGGTCTGTAGGGATATTCTGAGAGCTATCTGGTTGCATTTGTTCCTGCGCCTTCGGCAATCTCCTTTACTAAAACTTTCATGAGAGAATAAAGTCTGGGCTGAGTAGCATTTGCCTTGATTCATTTATTTCTTTGCTTCTCCATTTCTTTATAGCCAGCTTGTCATCCTTCACACCGACCTAGCCTCCTCCAGTTTAAAGTGCTGCCAACCCTCTGCGTGTGTTTAATTGTTCCTCTGGAACAGATCCATCGTTAACGGCCCCGTGTTCCTCTGCCCTGTGCCTGCCGCGGCTGCCCAGAGCCCCATCTGCTCTCGTCGGGGGCTTTGTGCTCTTCGCAAGCAGACTCCACGAGTTAGGGTATTTTAAGAATTCCGTCTCTCCAGATTATAATTTAATGTTCTTGGGTTTTCAGCATGAATAATTAGTGATACTTCTCTTTCCTGTTCTTTTTAATGGTTTTTACCATGTATTATCTTGGGAAACAGCCCACCTTATTTTTCTGTCCACCCGTGTCTTTCTCTGGTTGGTCCCGAGGAATAAGTTCTGACACAACACAATTGCTCTATCTCTTCCCTTAGTTCGTGCAATCGGTCCTATTAATAGTGCTTTTTTTTTGTTTCTGTTAATGACCTTTTTGTTCTTGGGCTTGTAAGAATAAAGGTCCTCTTAAACTGAGTAGAATTAAATGGAACATGATTTAGGTTTTTTTACAGCATATTTCACTTTTGTGGCATATTAACAAATGCCAGACTAGTTCTTTCAAAAGGGTATTGATTTTGTGTTGGAGTAGCTGAACTAACTAGGGGCTAAAAAAAAAAAAAAAAAAAAGGATATAGCATAGAAAACTTCATAAAATCATGCACCTGAAATAAAAACCTGTGTTCACCTTGATGTCAAAAATGGAACTGCTGGTTCTTCCCGTCTCACGGCAAGTAGTTTTATTCTGAGCTTATAACGTTTGGAATTTTTGTGGCACAATGTGGGGTTTCTAGGTTCAAGATAAAAAAATAAAGATTTCCAAAGGAGTCACCTGTCTGATACAGACAACACCCATAAATCGACTCTGGAAATCCCAGACAGGAAGGAGAAAGAGGAGTGTACACAAAGCTCAGAGGCACAACAAGAAATTCAACGTGCACCATGCTTCAGAGGTGGAGAATTTCACACTCTGCGGGTGCTGGGCACTTTCTTACTCCTCAGAGAGTGGTTCTGCATAGGTTTGTTACTCTGCACTGAAAAATGTTTGTGCTGCGCTGGAAAATGCTGTCGCACAGTTGTCAGCGTTAAGTTGTAGGTACATCACTACTGTTGTGTGAGGAATACCCTCCACACCAAGGGATCTCGGCATGCGGAAGTCGTTTACAGTCTGGAATGTATTACACCGTGTAAGAATCGGTGTGTGGTTGTATCTGCTTAAACGTTAGCACTGAGGGGGTTAATTAAACGGGCTGTTAAGATACCTGTTCTTTGCTGCTTTGGTATGGTCCTGCCTCCAGTACAGCACCAAATGCAGGAGGATTAAAATGTCTATTGTGTAAATAGAATTATGTTCTTCAAGGATAAATCACGTGGCAAATGCTTCTACAAATCTCTGTTTCCACTGTTACTACAAAAAGGAGTTAGTGGAGAGTAAACCTCTGAAAGTTTCCTCATCATGAGTAGAAGCAAGGACATTTAAAAAATATTGTAGCATTTTACATTTTAATAATGTGGGTTTGGTGTTAAACATTTTAAATGTTTAACATTTTTAATGGGTTAAACATTTTAAATTGTTTCTCTGAGTATTACACGCCTCTCTCCTTTATTGACTTTGCTCTCCAAAATCCCTGGAGTACCTTTAACAACAAGATGTCAGGGAGCAGAGATCCCGTGCAGTGTCTCCATTAGTGTAACTTCCCTCCTAAATATATGTCTCCTAGCCATTTCCTTCCTCATTTATACTGCTGATTATCGATTTTCTCCTCATCGCTCTCCAAAACTTCCTCTTTTTTTACTAGAGATCTCCTTCCCCAACTTCCATCCTCTAGGAAAGCCCAGCTCATCCTCTCACTTCCGAGATGACGCATGTTTCCTGTACCCCTCCCTGCAAGGATCTTGGCTGGCGTTGCCACGGCTTTCCAGTGCCCGTCTCCCTCAGTTCCCATTCCATTCCGTTTCCCTGAGCCCTTGCACCGCCTCCCACCAAGTGGGGTTCCCACGTGGCTAATAATGTGGGTGTTAAACATTTTAAATGTTTAACATTTTTAATGGGTTAAACATTTTAAATTGTTTCTCTGAGTATTACACGCCTCTCTCCTTTATTGACTTTGCTCTCCAAAATCCCTGGAGTACCTTTAACAACAAGATGTCAGGGAGCAGAGATCCCGTGCAGTGTCTCCATTAGTGTAACTTCCCTCCTAAATATATGTCTCCTAGCCATTTCCTTCCTCATTTATACTGCTGATTATCGATTTTCTCCTCATCGCTCTCCAAAACTTCCTCTTTTTTTACTAGAGATCTCCTTCCCCAACTTCCATCCTCTAGGAAAGCCCAGCTCATCCTCTCACTTCCGAGATGACGCATGTTTCCTGTACCCCTCCCCGCAAGGACCTTGGCTGGCGTTGCCACGGCTTTGCAGTGCCCATCTCCCTCAGTTCCCATTCCATTCCGTTTCCCTGAGCCCTTGCACCGCCTCCCACCAAGTGGGGTTCCCACGTGGCTGTTTTTCCGGCTCCCTTTCCATAAGTCCCCTCCTGAGGGCAGGCTCACCGATATCACACCATATCAGTACCAGTAAGCGTCATCTCCTACCCCGTGTCCCCAGGACACCTATCTTCAGGTCAGCATCTTTCCCCTTTCTGAACCTTTCTCCAGGATTAAGCGATGCCACGGATTCCCTGTTTGTGTCTCCGTTCCCTTCTAGCTATCCCACAAGCCTAATTTAAATATCCTGATTTAAAACATCTCTTTCTAAGGCTAAATCTGCCTTTCTTCCCACTTTTTAACGGACGTTATTTTCAGTATGTGTCCTGTCGCCAGCCAGAACAGCGAGCCAGCTGTGCAGGGCAGTCTCTGGAGGGTGAGATGTGCTGAGCTCTCAGTGAGAACTTTATGAAATCCAATAATTTTAATTTAGCAAAAAACCCTATGTAGAGGCGAAGTCATTTTCATTAAGTACAACTATAGGGACACTTGAATCTGTGGAAGGACTTGTGCCACGAATAAATGAATGAGGAATACTTACTCCTGAAATATGAAGGAATTGTTTATTCTAAATTTTTATTTATTTCTACTGGCAGCTTGCATTTTTGTGACCTTGACTTCACCAAAAATGTTTACATGGCCTTGATGTATCTTGAAAGTTCCATCTGTTTTGTCCACATTTTCAGAATGAACACATCACCACAATTTTTACAAGTATTTATGCAGGACTCATTAGACTTTTCAGCTGACAAATCAGCCTGATCAGACACTACCCGTATGGTGGGGTTTTGGTGTGTTGTCACGTTCATGAAAAGGCGGCTGTGAAATGTTTGTTCGTTGCAGTTTGGATTCTCTTTCCTATGTTTACTCTACGTTATTATATTCCTCAGGATGCCTTTGGACATCCTGCCAGTGAGATGAGGATAGGGGAACTTCGTCCTTCCATGCCAGAGACTCCGTTGTACCCACCCAAACTTGTTCTTCTGGGTAAAGAGAAGAAAGGTACTAACTTGGCTTACAACCTTTTGGATGAAAGCAAATGTAATGTACGCAGACACCTTACTTAAGCTGTTCTGCACCTCAGTCTGATTATAAAACATCTTACATGCATATTTGTGCCGTGTGTGTATATATATGTGCATAGCATCCGTTTAAAAATGTGTTTTTCTGGAGTTTAGTTTTCAAATACCACCTGCTGAAAACGTTTGCTGTGTTTTGTTTCAGAATCGACAGACGAGTCTGAAGCAGATAAGATCCATTGTCTGAATAACAGCGTTTCCTCAGGCACTTACTCAGACTATTCCCCTTCCCAGGCTTCCTCAGGGTCCTCCAACGCGCACGTTAAAATGGGGTCCTTGCAGACAACGGCTAAAGAAGCAGTGAATAACTCTTTGTGGGGGAACAGGTGGGGTCATCTTAACACAGCTTCTGGTTGCCTTTCGTCTTCCGTCGTCGTAGGCATTCAAAGTGACCGTATCTTAAGGCACTCAGTTAAAAAAATACACCGTTTTCACCCCAGTTTTGCCAGGGTGTACGTAGCTATTCAAAGCCTGTGCAGGGTTGGCCACCCAGACATGCTCTATAAACGTCAGTAATTCTGCAGCTGGTTTTTCAACTATGTGCTATAACCATGCCTAGTAATTGAGCTGCAATTATTCTGCTCTGTGTGGTCCTGAGCTGCAGCTGCCTGCAGTTTAGCACAGGCGGCAGCGTGTATTTGTCTCATATTATTGCTGTCCTGAGCCTCACTCGGCCCTGGACTTCCAAGAGCAACGCAGTTCTTTAAAAAGTTGTAATTCGCACTGGCCGTCAGCAACCTGAAAACACTCTCGTACCATACCAGGACCACCCTGCCCTGTCCCTGCCATAAATCACCTGAGGTAGTTCCATCCTAAATGTAGTTCCATCCACAGGCTATTCCCTGTTAAAGACAGGCTGGAGCCTGCTCACTGGAGATGCATAAAATCTTGGTGGTGAGAACATGCATGAACTGAATCTTGTATTTTTGTTTAAAAAAAAAAGGTGTAAGTGTAAAAAAAAAAAAATCTTCCCCTGCACTCAAAGAAACTTATTTTTAAAGCAGGAAAATAGGTTCAGCTGGATTTCTATGAACACGGCATTGAGCCACCCAGGGATTTGTGGTTCCTCTGTGTCCATGCTTAGGGAATCTGTACTCCAGTGCAAAGAATCTGCCGCAGCCATTCGTGCCAAAGCAGTGGCGCGGGTTGCTCACCCCAGTACGATCCCAAAGCCGGAGCACAGATGGGCGGGTATTACGTTGCGTTGTAGTTGCGCCTTGCTGACGACTGCTTCCGTGCGCTGATGGAGGGCGTTTTACCTTCTTCAATTTGCTTTTGTTCTCGCAGGCTGGCCCAGTCGTTTCCACAGCCCCTCGAAACCAAGCCATTGCTGAGCCAGCGGGAATCCGCTCCGGCGGGGAACGCGTCGCCCGGACAGGCGCCCGCTGAGCGACACCTTCGCCGACAGCTGGAACGACAGCTCGCACTACGATAACACGGGGTTCGTGGCGGAGGAGAGCGCGGTGGAGAATCCCGGTGCTAACCCCCTCCTGAGCACGAAGTCGAGAAGCACATCTGCGCACGGGCGCCGGCCGCTGATCAGGCAAGACAGGATAGTTGGCATTCCCCTGGAGCTGGAGCAGCCGACGCTCAGAAACACACACGAATCTGAAGTGCCTCCTCCCAATCCTTGGCAAAATTGGACCAGAACCCCTAGTCCCTTTGAAGACAGGACAGCTTTTCCTTCCAAACTGGAAAACACCCCCACCACCAGCCCTTTGCCTGAGCGGAAAGACCATATCAAAGAGTCTCCTGAGATGACTAGCACTTTCACTCCGGGAATAGCATGGGAATATCACGATTCAAATGCTAACAGAAGCCTCACAAACGTCTTTTCCCATATCCACTGTCGCCCAGATCCTTCCAAAAGCGTTATTTCGATCAGCAAGAGTACGGAGCGGCTTTCTCCGATGATGAGGGATTTAAAAACTAACAAATTTAAGAAGTCGCAGAGTATCGATGAGATAGACATTGGTACCTACAAAGTGTATAATATACCCTTAGAAAACTATGCATCTGGTAACGATACTGTAGGAGCCCACGAGAGGGTGGACAAGCTCCTGGGCCCGGAGCACGGCATGCTGAGCATGTCCCGCAGCCAGTCGGTCCCCATGCTGGACGACGAGCTGCTGACCTACGGCAGCGTCAAGGTGCAGCCGCAGCAGAAGTCGTCCGTCACGAAGAAAGTCTACCAGTTCGACCAAAGCTTCAACCCGCAGGGAGCGGTGGAGGTGACAGCGGAGAAGAGGCTACCGCCGCCTTTCCAGCTCAACCCCGAGTACATTCCCCAGCAGAGTAAAAACCTGCCCCAGGAATTGGTCAGCCCCAGGGCCTACCGCGGCTACCCGCCCGTGGAGCACATGTTCTCCTTCTCCCAGCCTTCGGTCAACGAGGAGGCGGTCGGTGCCCCCTTTGCGAGCCAGGGGTCCCGGCCGGGGTTCTTGAGGAGAGCGGATTCGTTGGCCAGCTCCACCGAGATGTCCATGTTCAGGAGAGTCAGTGAGCCCCACGAGCTGCCCCCGAGCGATAGGTATGGCAGGCCTCCCTACCGAGGAGCTGTGGAGCGCCAAAGCAGCATCTCGGTCTCTGAGTCTCAGTTCCTCAAGAGGAACGGCAGGTACGAAGATGAGCACCCTTCCTACCAAGAAGTGAAAGCCCAGACTGGAAGCTTTCCAGTTAAAAACCTTACACAAAGGAGGCCGTTGTCTGCAAGAAGCTACAGTACAGAGAGTTACGGCACATCCCAAACCAGGCCGGTTTCAGCGAGGCCTACAATGGCAGCGCTGCTGGAAAAGATACCGTCAGACTATAACTTGGGTAACTATGGCGACAAGCCTTCCGATAACAGTGATATAAAGACAAGGCCTACCCCTGTGAAGGGAAATGAGAGCTGTGCTAAAATGCCCGCTGACTGGAGACAACAGCTACTTAGACATATAGAAGCTAGAAGGTTAGACAGGGTATGTTTGGCACTTCTCTGCAATTAATGCCTTTAGTCGTGTGTTTCGCTATTTCAAACTATTTGCACGTACAGTGGTAACCACCAGAATTCCCAGTAATGAAATTCCTGCCTTGGTGTCAGAGGAACCGGCCCGCCAAGGGGCCTGGGGGTGCTCAAAAGCAGCTGGAGTGAGGGGTTCCCGGGGAGAGGAGCGGTAAAGAGTCGAGTAGCGCACCGCGGTGCACGTTGCTCACGCGGCACCCGCCGCAGCGCTGCCTGAAATGATGAAAACCCCCTAAAAATCTCTCCTTAGCAGTGAACGTGCTGCTGGAGCCCACCACCTCAGCAGTGATTTGAGAGCTGTAAAAGATGCTGGATACATCTTTGCAGTAAAGGGAAATAAAGAAAAACATCACAGATAAATAAAGTCATGTGGTTTAGCTTTCATGCCACGGCTAGAGGAGGGGGTGTAAAGGTACCTCAGCCCTGAAAAACACCCCTGGGTCTGCCCTGCCACTGTTTCTAACAAGGAATGTGATTATTACTCCTCTTAGCAGTAGGAAGTTACGCTTATTTGCCTTCTATACAAAACAGTGCAATACTATAGTGCATGATTTCGGTAATGATGGTGGCTATTTAATGACCGACTTCCTGGATCGGATTTACTTCATAATCTGAAGTGGTTGTGAAAAGTCACTGTCATCAGATGCGTAAGTTAGTTCCCAAATGTGTCCGTATGCCTCCTTTATGCTAGATACGAGTCCGGTGTTGATATATTCCTTACCTCCCAGGTGCTCAGATAGGATGCGTAGTGACGTGCTGCTAAGGATCAAATGGGTAAACTGTAAAAACGGGCGTCGAGGCTGAGGCGTTTCCCTGACTTCAGCTGTTTTCCTTGTGTCAAAGCGATGGGAAAACGCAGAGTGCCTAGGCAAAAGAGAGCACCCCAAGCAGAGCCGTTTCTGGTGGAAATAAACACTTCCCAGGCGCTGTTTGTTTCTGAAATACCTTTACGCTTAGTTTACAACCTGTATTTGCTTAAGAAATCCTTTCTCTCCCTGGGAGCTGGCAGCGGTGGTTTTATCTGGTTAACCCGAGTGACACAACCCCGCGGGTGCCAGCGCGCCAGCTGCAGCTGTTGACAACACGCGGTCACCAGAGCCCTGGGAGGCCGGGCTGCCCGGCGCAGGTTTTGCCGGAGAGGACGCCCAGGCACCGCGGTGCCGCAGCTGCTCCAGGGGAAGGTGCTGCTCGTCTGTGGGAGCCCTGTGCCCACCGTGCTGGGCCCACAGCGTGTCCCGTGAGGGCAGCTGCGAGCCGGGGAGCAGGCACAGTGCCCAAAAGACGGTGCAGAACCTTCTCATATAGGATTTTTTTTTTTCCCTCTGCCTTTGATGCTCTTTTATACTAGATATGTGTTTTCTGGCCCACCCACAGTTGCACAGGCGTACCAAAATTTGGCCGTATTTGCAAAATAAAGACTTGTACCGTGTTATATACTGCAGTTTTCAAACTACAGATAACAACATATTTCATCTGCTGTCAGCGTTGAAGTCTTTTATGGTATCCATTTTATGTATAATTAGCAATGTATTTGCTTCCGTGTGACCCAGTGCATGCATCAAAAAGCTATTTATTTCTTGGTACTGTTCGTTTGCTTAAACTAAAACTTTGTGAAATTAACCATATATGTGTGATACTTAATTCGATGAGCATGTGTGTTCATATCCTGTCACGTGGTTGTTTCCTCTACTCAGACCGCTGCTTACAAACACAACACAGTTAGCCTTGGCATGCTGCACTCTGGAGGGTTTTCAGCCATGCATGCCGGCAGAAGCATGACTTTAAACTTGCAGACTAAATCTAAATTTGAAAACCAAATGCTTCAAGAGCTACCTCTACCGAAAGTAAGTATGGGATAGCCAGCATATACCGGCGTTACCAAATAAATTAATAATACTCCTTGCTTTTTCCTGGTTTAGCTTGTGCCTATTACTCATGCTTATACTAGACACAATCCAAAAAGCAAAGATGCTAGTAGCACTGTTTTCCTACTCAAAATCTTGCTTTTTGGATTAAGTAGCTCACATGCCTGTCATTACTGCTTCGTGCTCTCGTGTTAGACTGGTGCGATCATTCTAGTTTCTCAGTGATTTAATCTGTGCACAAAAGTGGAGAACGTGTTCTGTGACTGTTTGAACTTAGAAAAATGGATGTAGAAATGTTTAATGTGCATTTAAATAGGCTCCAGGAGACAGGGATTTTAACGTAGGGACGTTAATGGGGTATGCAAGTTGATGAGTTTTGAGTACGTGCCTACCACACCTAAATTAATTTTAAACTTGTGTGGGGTAAAACCCGTAGAAGGAAAATTATTTTGCCCTTTTGTAACTGTTTATTTGCAGCAATTAGCCATATATTGTTGCTAAGTGCATACATACGCCATTACGTACAAACAAATGTTTGATGGGAAAAGCAGGTATGACGAGCCAGAGAGGGACGTGGCTGGAGCATTTTCAGCGCATCGGCGGGGAGACGCTGAGCCCGCGCTCTGCGTGACGTACGGCCGCGCCGGAG